ACCAAACCTGTATATTTATTGGAGATTAATATGAGCTCACAAAGTTTTTCTGGTCAAGTATAATCAGACGCTGCCTTCCAATAAAATTTAAGATGTTAAGTTTTGATTATTTCAATTATAACGTAGAGTGGGAGGCTTTTTATCTGTTTATTAAACATTTCAAATTTTAGCTCAACTAGATATAGTTTTTTAGCCTTCCTTTAACAATCATTGCAGGAAATGGCGATCAATCTATCCCTGGAGGAGATGACTCTAGAAGAAATAACTCTTCTGATGGAAACAAATCCAATGAATCTGCTTCCCAGAAATCATATCCTGTTAACATGGACTGGAGAGAGTTCAGGGCAAATTTATATAGGCAGGAGCAGGTGACTGTTTCTTTCCAGAATCATGTAGCTATTTTATTATCATAATTGATAATGGAATTATGAATAGGTTTTAGAAGATTTACCTTTCCTTGCATTCATTTTTTTCGCTCGATCTGTTTTGACTAGAAATTTTCCTACCATTAAAGCCAGCATTCTGTCACTTATTGGTGGCCTTGGAGTTGTAGGAGAAAAAGGCTGAGGGAAAATTCTAACGGCATTTAGATTGTTCTTAACAGATGGGACAAATTTATCATTTTCTTCCCATATCAAACGAAGGGCAAGTTAGAGAATGAGGTCCTGAATCAGACCTCTTTTAGTGTGCTTTTCATGTGTGTTGATACTTGTGGAATCAAAGGGGTCTGGTGTATACCATTTATTCTGAAGCTTTATATACTCGATCTATGTTGTTTTCTGTTTTCAATATAACCTTTCATCAGCAGAGTTGTGGTGAAAGTTTTTTTATATAACATAAAAGTATCACTGTTTACTACAGGCAGAAAAAGCAGAGTCTGATGCTTGCAACCAAGATGCAACTCCTCAGGAGTCAAAATCTCTTGGCCTGAAATGGGCACATCCTATTCCAGTACCCGAGACGGGCTGTGTCCTTGTTGCAACAGAAAAGCTTGATGGGGTTCGTACATTTGAGAGAACTGTAGTTCTGCTTCTCAGGTCTGGAACTCGACATCCACAAGAGGGTCCATTTGGAGTTGTGATCAACCGTCCACTTCACAAAAAGATCAAACACATGAAGCCTACTAATAACGAACTAGCCACCACATTTGCTGATTGTTCATTGCATTTTGGGGGGCCTCTCGAGGCAAGCATGTTTTTGTTAAGAACAAATGAAAAATCGAAACTCCCAGGGTTTGAAGAGGTAATGCCTGGCCTCTGTTTTGGTGCTCGAAACAGTTTGGACGAAGCTGCAGGGCTCGTGAAGAAAGGCGTGCTCAAGCCTGAGGATTTTAGATTTTTTGTTGGGTATGCCGGTTGGCAGCTGGACCAATTGAGAGAGGAAATTGAATCAGATTACTGGTATGTAGCTGCATGTAGCTCAAATTTGATTTGTGGAGGTTCATCGGATTCATCAGAAAGTTTGTGGGAGGATATTTTGCAGCTAATGGGTGGCCATTACTCAGAATTAAGCCGGAAGCCTAAGCAAGATATGTAGTCATTTATTATATATAGACTGAGTTAGTTATGAATCTAAATGTACATAAAACTCTTTCAACTGGATTTTTATCAGTTACTAGATGTATTTATATTTATATTTAAATCTTTTTGTGTCTCTTTCTCTCTCTCTCCCTCACTCTCCCCTTTATATTTTTAAGAATTGTGGCTCTTGTAAGTGACAATAATATGCCTTATTAAATAGCCATGCAATTTGTAGCTTCTTTCTTATATTGTTCTTGTAAGTGAAATTAAAGTGTTTATTAAAATTTTAAAAATGATTTAAATGAAAAGAAAAAAAACAAAAATACTCTATATTTAATTTTTTTAGTTTCATACATTTTATTTATTTAATTACTTAATTATTTTAATTTTTAAAAGTCAATAATATATATTACATTTTATTTTATATCATAAAATATTTATAATAAATATATATGTTTATCATTTTTTTTTTTCTTAAAATGCACACTTTTATTAATGTGTCAGAAGAATTACTTTAACCAGTAAGATATGAGAGAAATTTAAGATATTCCTTTTTATCATTTTAACAAGCTCAAAATGCTTGTAAGTATTATTTATCAAATATAACAACTATTTACTTAGTGATGACAATAGAGTGAATTTTATCAAAACTGAATACAAATAAATCGAAACTGCTCTGAATCCGGGATCAGTTATTATGTGGGTTTACAGGAAAACCTGCTCTGCTCCAGTTAGTTGAAGATGAAGATGGAAGACTCTGGCAAGCTGCAAAGCTGCGAGTTTTAGATGGTCATAATGTGAACTAAACCAAGTCACGCTGGAATACCAAGTGTCCAAATAAGATGATTACATAAATTTTCGACTTGACATGTTTAAGAGTCTGCTCCGATTTTATCTGTTCGATTTTGGTTTGAACTCGCATCAATCTTTAGTGGGGTGGACGGTTTCAGCGGATCACAGATTTTCTTTGTCATCTCTATATTTGCTTCTTATAATTAAGTAAAAAATAGTTCTCTCAACAATCCAAAGAACCTCTAACTCTAAAAACTTTAGATTTAGAGAAACACAAAGAAAACATCCCAACATCTTCCCCTACAAAATCTCCAAGATATAAAGGCAGCAAATTTCTTCCATACTTCGCCATAAACTTCATTTATTACAACCATAATAAGAAACTTCTCTCTCTAAGAATATTACACCAATTGAAGTTCAAGAAAAGTCCTCCTGGCTAGTTTCAATCAGCATCAAACTGGATTCAGTCTTCAAGAATTAAAGCTGGGAACGGAATCGTCTAAATATTCATTTGCCTATTCAAAACCATTCTTGTGCAACTTCCATTGCTCAAATTCTCTCAAGCTTAACATAAACGAGCTGGCATTTCGATGTCCTCCACCTCCAAACTCCTGCCATGAATGAGTGGCAGAACAAGTTTTAGTAGACGTTTTCATTCACCATTTGACAATAACATAGCATTTACGAATTATTTCTGGAATGAGCAACGAGCATTGAGGAAAGACCTGTGAAATACATGTTGTGTCTTCACTGTCCATACTCCTTAGGCTTATTTTTAACATCTGGTCATTTTCGAGCTCCAGGACTCTATACACAACAGCTCCAATGCCTCTATGATCGTCAATTCATGTATTTGAGACCATGTTAGAGAAAGAACAATGATGCTTCAATGACAAAGATCTTTTATAATCAAAGAGATATATCTATGTCATGCTTGCACAGGCAATGGAGACTCCATAACGAATGTAACAAGTTTTTGAGTTTAAATGCAGTTGGAGAAATTTGAATAAGAGTGAATAAGAGAGCTCGAGAAAAATTCCCAAAAAATAACAAATATTTTGGTACTTTCATAGAAAAAGATCATATCGTCTCTTTCCCATGATGTTTATAACATCATAGCTTTAGTGAACTAGGAAGAACAAGGAAGCATGAATATTTTCAGGATGCACTTAAGGGCATGTTCGGAACAAATTTTTGTTGAAATACTAAGTGTAAAGGATATAATTAAAAACCGGCACCAAGAGATGTCAACCCATATCCAAAATATTTATATGTCTACCAAAATATCAATGAAATCTCCTAAAGCCTCCGTATAATAGAGAGGATGACCCAATAACAAATTAATAATTTATATGAAATTTATCTGGATATTCACAATAAGTTCAATTGGGAACATAATTTTGATGTTGAATTGAAACAATAAATTTTAGAGTCTACTAATTTTAACGAAAATTGGAATATATTTCAAATTTCACCTTGATTCTATGATGTCTTTTTTACAATTTCAGATGCCGTTCACCATCATCTACTTCAAAGAAAGTGTGAATTTTCATCATTTTATAAACTAAAATATTTATTTGATCCAAACATAGCCTAAAAGTTCTTAGAAAAGCAACATTTTGAAAAACCAGAAAGTAGCAAAACTAACAGACAAATAAAGGAATCCAGGATAAGCATATATCTCATGATACAAAAAGAGAAAAAAAAATCAAGGAAATGTCACAAACCTAAGTTTTAAATTACGGCTTTTTATAGCTAACTGGTGCCCGAGTTCACTCCTCAATTCTGAAAAGGAATCTGCATCAACTGCCTACAAGAAGGGGATAAGATAAAATAATATTTTGTCCTGAAATATGTTTGAAATATAACCCAATGCTGAGTATATCAAAAAATCAATACAGATTTGTATTATGTACTCTTTTTGAGGTGAAATAAAAGTTAACTGCAACTCAAACTTTTGCAGTCTATTGACTTGAGAACCACAACAAAGAGAACTAACAATTAAAGAGGACAGAGATACTGCCTTTCTAGGGGAAAATAAAGGGAGAAAGAGAAGAACAGATGAAGAATAAGAGGAATCTGAACAAAGCATGTAGGAGGAAAAAGGATAGAGAAGATTGTTAAAACTTGTTGGTTTGCTAAGATTTCTCAGGATTACATTTGGAATATATCAAGAAATCATATAGAATTCATTTGCAAATTCATCCTAATTACCTGGAAGAATGTATAAATTGTATTAAAATGACAAAAAAATGAGTATACATAGAATTTAACATGCAATCGGAACAATAAGTTCCAAATTCTATCAAAATTGAAGAAATTTGAAATCTATTGCTCCAATTCCATAAAGAATTCCATATTAACTCCATTTTTGATCATTTTAGGTATGACTCTCATCATTTTCTAGTTAAATAATTCACACAAATTATAAATTTGCAAGTAAATTCTACACAAATTTCAGATTTTTTCTAAACACAACCTAAGATTCTTTAGTGGATGTTCAAAAATCGTGTTTGAATCTAACAGTTTCCTGGATATAAAAGTTTTTCTGTCCTATATCAATTAGAGTTAAAAGGACATTTAAAATGGGAAATCCTTCTCCCAAAAGAGGCTCTTTTAATAGGAGAAAACCTCGATCAATCAGTAACATGCTTGACCTCGACAAAATCACTGGCCACATACTTATTTCCCCTCCTAGAACCCTATAAACCCAGAGTTTTCTGCCCCCTACATTATCATACTACATAATAGTTGTAAGCAAATTATGCAAATGTTGCTGCTGCCACCTAGGAAAAGCGAAAAATCCAAGCAACTCAGACACAGGCCATATAAAATTCAAAGACAGAAGGTGCACAATACCAGGCAGTGACCAAATGCTCCACCACCAAGTGCAATTTCATATGATTGATCAAGAGTTTCACTTATCAATTTTTGCTTATACTCTAAGCTGGTCGTCCCTTGGCTGATGATTGACTCCAAATCCAAAGAAAGTAACTGCAAAAATTCATCATTAAATTTAGTGCATGTCAACAGAAGAGAAATTATATATAATATATATAATATGGAGATGAAGGTATACATTTCCCTATCAGGCAGATATGGAAGACTAGTGTCCCTCACTGGGTTTCTTTTTTTTTTTTTTTTGCATGGGAGGCTAGTAGGGAATGTTTTTTAACCATTGACAACTTGAAGAAGAGGGAAAAGATAATGGTCAATGCTTGTTTTCTTTGTAAGAGCGATGAAGAGACTTGTAAGCATGTTTTGCTTTGGTGTCCGGAGATATACAAGCTGTGGACTTTGATTTATGGGTTGTTGGACATTAGTTGTGTGATGACAGGATCGGTGAAGAAAGAAATTTGGGTATGGAAGGATGTTAGGAGGACTTTTGAGAGGGTTGAGGATGTTAATGGTTTTGATTTCCTTAAGAATAGGTGGTTCTTGGTTTTTTGTTATAGGATTATGTCTCTAGTTTTTATGGAGAATTTAGTTGACTTGTAAATGTTGTAAATGAGTGGTAACATTTGGTGCCAATATTAATACATAATTCACACTTTATATTCCAATACATATATATATATATATATATATATAATATGGAAGTAAACCTGATCAAACAAGGAAGAATTCAAACGAAAGCTGAGCTCGATGTTCAAATCTTTGAGACCACTACTGAAAGCTTTACTTTTTGGGAGTTTCCACTTCCAAAGATCTCCATCTTCAACGTAATCAAAGAGTGGCCTCATGCGCTCAAACTCCCCGATTGCTCTACAATCGCCATGTGAGTCCTCAGTCAGCTTTTGCTTGAAGTAATCAAAAGCAATGGTTGCTCCACTCCTCTCAATGTCCAATACTCTTGTCACGTTCTCCCCCACCGAGGTGGCCGCACCCCCAAGCATCTCCATTGCAGTTTTATGGTGGTCCAGTATCACCACTCTGTTTATAGTCGATTAAAATTCATAGGTATCTCTATTTTCAGTTTCAGAGAGAGAGAGAGAGAGAGAGAGAGAGAGAGAGAGAGAAAGAGAGAGACCTGGTAACCTTCGAGGAGACATGGCGGACAAATCCGGGAGGGCCCACGAAATCCAGAAGGTAAAGATTGCTGATTTGGTGGAGAGGAAGCTGGTCTGCTTTGAGAGGAGCGTAGACAGTGTTGGGGAAGAAGAGACAGGGGAGAGAAGCGGCGGAGAAGTAGAGATGAGCTGCCAGAGCGGCGAAAGCGCCGTCGGGACATGGATAGTGGTAAAGCACCGCCGATTTCCTTATCAACTCCATATATGTCAAAACCCACCATTGCCCGCCTGCCTGCTCCTGCTTGATATTTCCTCTGCTCCACAGATAAAAAAACAAATCTGTTGACGTTGCTCGATTCTCGAAATACTATTTGGCGTATATTACTGAAAAATATTCAATTCATACTCTAATAAATATTGGAATAAAATATTAGTATTTTTTATATATAAAAATTTATAATTTTATTGCTGATGAATGTTTAATTTTGACCAAACTCGAAAATGTTTTTTTTTCAGTCTAAAATTTTGTTTCTTTTTTTTTTTTTTAATTTATTTTGCGTCGAAACTAATTGGGTCCACAGAAACAAAGAAGTCCAATTTTGAACGATGGATTCATGGATTGGGCCAGTGTCTGGTTATATGGGCTTTGGGGAAAAGATGCTGGCTAATGAGATTGCCTTTTACCGGTTCCAAAAATGGCGAAGAAGCTCGCCGTTTGCAGAATTTACAGAAAGCAGATTCATGGCTGCGAACACCCTGTGCACCCTTGCTTGGAAACCCATTCCCTCTCCTCGCTCTTCCATCTCCACTATCAAGGTCAACTCAACTCGGTCAAACTCGCCATTGATTCACCTCAACGCCAGCTCTTCTTCTTCTTCGCCGTCGTCGTCTTCTTTTTCTTTAAGCTGGTTTAACGCAGTTAATCTCGAAAATCGCTTGCCCAGACGCGGCGCCTACTTTGTGTTGGAGTGTCTTCATTCTTATTCTTCTTCTTCCACGGCCAAGACCAGACTCTACGTCAGCGGTAAGTTTTCCCTCCCTTCATTCATTTTCTCCATGTTGAAAACTCCCATTTTTGGTGTTTGAATGAGAAAATCTTCTGTTCATTGCAGGGCTTTCTTTTCGAACAACTGAAGAGAGTTTAAAGAATGCTTTTCAAAATTTTGGGCAACTGGTAGAAGGTGGATTAATTAATTTCCCTCTGTTGTTCCTGCAAACTATATATTTTCATAGTACAATGCTTGATACCCATTGACGGCTGGTTTGGGTTTTCTAAAATCTTCAATTTCTGCTGCAGTTAATTTGGTGATGGATAAAATAGCTAAGAGACCAAGAGGGTTTGCATTCTTGCGCTATTCTACTGAGGAGGAATCTCAAAAGGCTATAAAGGGAATGCATGGGAAGGTATGAATTGTTTCTTTTTCAATATAATGTTAAACATGAAGAAGAAGAAGAAGAAGAAGTTGAAGAAATGTATATGTTAAGAAAATAAATCTAAATATGAAAATAATCACACAAAGTAAAAAGTAAAATAAGAAAAGATCAAGATTTAATATGGTTCGGCCGAGATGTCTACGTCCACGAGCCAAATCGAAAAAAACTTTTCACTGTGATCAAAATTGATAGGACATTACCAATAGGGTTGTAGATCCTTATTTAAACAAAATATTAGGGTTTTTTCCCATAATATGCACAGAATATTTCACAAGACATACACAAAATATTCTCATAATCAATTCATATCAGTGGTATATCACTACTTTAGAAATCTGAATCAACCCCATTTGTTTTAGTTTTTGGATGGCAGGGTAATATTTGTGGAAGTCGCCAAACCCAGATCAGAACTCCGGCAAGGCTTTAAATCGAATCAGGTGCAATCCTAAGGTATTAAATCAGCAACTTGTTGGTTCAGATAGAGCTGAACTCACTTGGGCAAATCCTTCATTGTCTATCTGAAAATGGTGACTTTCAAATTTATTTATATATTTATCTATGCTTGCATTATATCTCTCTTTCTGTGTCATCTTGTGTCAGCTTGCAAATAAAGGATTAGGCTGTAGGGGGGGTGGGGATGGTAGGAATCTCCATAGCATAGACTCAAATAAAATCTTGGTATTATTTCACTGCTACTTATGGTTACATGTATTTCAATGTTATTTATCTAGAGTATAATGAAGTAACAAGAAATCCAAAATTAAGTTCAG